GACGAAACTCTCTCCACCAGTCAGGTGAACATCAGCGACGTATCGGGGGTAAGAGACTACCAGATCAGAGGATGCCAGTTCAGCACACTTCCCGACACCACACACGTCAGCTCCATTATATTCCAGTCTTGGAGCAGACCTATCAATAAAATGTTTTGGAGTCTCGCAAAGTATTGGCACTCAACCACTATGCAGCACATGCCAAGGTTGTTCGCGATCGACGACCTCGACGAGGTCAGCAGTATATATATATATATGTATATATATGTATATATATCCACGGACGGCTCTGGGGGCAGCAAACAAAGATGGGGGACCTGCTTGGACCTTCGTTGTTCTCGCTGGGGACTCCTACGGTCATCAGGCCCTCTTGGGTTTTGAAGGAGGGGCTCTTGAAGGTGAACATCCCGCTCACCTCCACGCATTAGCCACGGAGCTGCAAGGTGCCCAGTGGGCGCTAGCTTGGTTCCTGCAGTCCCCCTACGCCAGCCTCACTCACGAGGTGGACCTCACGCTCTTCTGCGACTGCTCCGATGTTCTTAGAGTTGCCCAAGGAGGAGCCCTCAGCCCGTCAGTCAGACGTCTTCGGTCAGAACTAGACAGTCTAGCTAAGGTTGTGCAGTATTTGTCCAGGTCTACCTCTTGGGCTCACGTCGCAGGGCAGTGGGAACCCATGGAACGAGGCTGCAGATACTATATGTACCTTGGTATCTATGAATAAAGGGGACATACCTACTCCTGACGGCAGGTGGAGGGTATGTCTAGACGACGACATCCAGTTGAGCTGGCTGTGGCTTCGCTTCGAGTCCCGCCAGGTCCAAGCGCAGTATCCTTCTCCTGGTGCTGAGTTGCCGCATTTTCAAGAATCTGCGCAAGAGAAGGCGTCGGCCTTGTTTAGGTTATTACGTTTCGCAGCCAAAGACGCGAGGACAACGAGGGAAGTTGCCCCGTCACAGTCTATGTCAATATCAGTGGCCGCCGCCAACGTCCTGTCGTTGAACCCCCACAAAGACCGCATCGCTAAGAAGTTCAAACCGGTTGGGCTCTTTATGTCTGGGAGAATGCGACATCTTGGAAGGATCTTCGGGAGACAAGGTTTCTTCTTGGTGGGTACTGTGGAGACTAGATTTCCTCGTACTGGGACCTCTCGAGTTGCCCCTTATCACGTTGTTCATGCTCAGTGCGACGATCAAGGCAAATTCGGCTGCTCTCTTTGGGTGCACACGGGCATTGAGGTCATACCAGGAGTCCGCTGCCAGCCCAAGCATGTGCGTGTTCTCGCTGCACAGCCCAGATATTTGCACGCTGCGGTGCGAGTGGAACATGTTGCAGTTGACGTTCTAGTGGCTCACGCTCCGCACAGCAAAGCGCAGCCTGAATGTTTAAAGCAATGGTGGCAGGAATTGTCTCGCCTATTACGTGCACATCGTACTCCAGGCGTTGAAATCGTTTGCCTATGTGGCGCAAACGCCAGAGTTGGATCGGCCACATCTCGTAGCATCGGCTCAGTTGCCGCAGAAGTGCAGAACCTCCGGGCAGTTTTTTTTCACGAGTTTCTCTTGGAGGCTGAGCTTTGGTTACCGTCTACCTTTCTGGAGTCCAGGCAACCATCATCTGCCACGTGGTTCCCCCCAGCCTCCCATGGGCTCTCAGCTGGGCGCAGAATCGACTACGTCGCCTGTTCGTTTGGGGCCCAAGTGTCCTCCCAGCGCGTGGTGTCCGATATCGATCTCACCATATCGATCCTGGACCATCTCGTCGTCTCTGCCACACTCTCGTCGCCGCTGTCCAACGTATTGTGGAGCGCAAGTGGACATCATAAGCCCAAGTGCGACGCTGCCAAGTTTCAAGAAGCAGAGGCAGTGCAGCACTTCGCGGAGCTCATGAGAGAAGCACCAGCTATTCCCTTTACTGTCGCCCCGTCAGTGCATTGCGAGTTTATCAACAAGCACGTGCACACAGCGATCGAGACAGCATTTCCAGTCAGGAGTACGGCACGAGGTCGTACTCCGAGGCAGCCCTGGATCACAGACGCCACCTTGGAAATGATGGACCAACGTACCATACAGGTACGGAGCTTTCGTCAGGCTGGTTTACGCTGTCTTCGGCTTCGTAAAGCTCTGCTTTTCCATGCGTGGGCTCAGACCTCGAGTGGCACGGTTGGGGCCTCATGGTTTTGTCACCGCACGGCTACTTGGAGGACGTCTTCTAGGAACCCAGGGTCTCTTACTAAAAGATGGGCTCCCAGAGTGCAGTTATTAACTACTCACTTAAGGCCGGATCCCCTGGGGCTCTGTTGGCGTTTACATCAACTACTGGAGTTGCCGTTTCAGAAGCTGCCGGGGTTCGCTATCGAGGACCGCGTGAGCACGGCCTTTTTCAGACTTTGGGTCAGAGAACACGGCAGTTTCTTGGATCCCCAGAGGCCCCCATTGCACGGGCTTGAGGAGCTCAAGTGGGTCCTTCCTGGTTGGCCTGATCAAGTATCGACGGGGCTCCCTGCGCTTTGGAACTATCAAGCACGCATTTCGGGTATTTGCCTGGCTGCCAGACCGTTGTCTTTGGAAGCGCACACAGTATTCGTCAACAGAGGAGTCGGCATGGATGCGCGCGCATACGCATCAGAGCTGGCCAGCCAGGTGTCTTCAGCATGGGCAAGGCACGACTTTAAAGACGCGTTCAGCAAGTTGAGAGCCATGGGGGCATGCTCTCGCAAGAAGCGTTCAGCTTCACCTTCACCGTTACTTGCAGGCATAGACGGGCAGCCCCTCAAGTCGTTCGTGGATGTCGCGAATAGGTGGTTACAACACTTCGGGATGGAAGAATTTGCAGCTCTGGTTCCTGGACAGGACCTGGACTGGTTCTTTACCCAACTTCCCTCCATAGACCCCTCCATCACGCACAACTCAGACATCGCACTCGAGGATATCCCGTCATTGGCTAGATGGCAGCAAGCTATGCTACAGGCCAAAGGTTCCGCAGCAGGACCCGACGGCATATCAAGAGCTATTGCCAAGGGATTCGCACATATTCTCGCAGCAGCGCATCACCCTTTAGTGGTCAAAAGCACTATCAGAGTTTGCGAGCCCGTACAGTGGAAAGGTGGTTTCTACTGGCGCTTATTCAAGTCTGGCGCCCCCTCCCAGGTCTCCAACTACAGATCCATATTGGGCCCCTCCCAGTTAGGCAAAAACGCACAGGTCCATCACGAGAGCCCGAGTGGTCCAAGCACTTCCACATCTGGCTGGTGATAGACAGTTCAGCGGACTGGCAGGCAGAGGTACTGAATTCTCTGCCCTGGAACTTCGAGGTTTGCAGCAACTAGCAGAGGCTCGAAAACTCTCGGTGCTCTTAATGTTTATTGATGCAGCCCAGGCCTTTTACAAGGTTGTCCGCGACATGGTCTTTGCCACTGCAGGCGATGGCGAATCGCTAGCACGTCTTTTGAAGGAGCGCGGGCTACCAGCGGAGGCTGCGCACGAGCCATGGGAAGATGCGCAGACGCACGTCACCGCTCTCGAGGAGCCAGGGGTCTCAGCCCACAGCCGAGCTCTATTATCGGACGCAGATGATCAGTCGTGTTTTTTTCGTCCAGGACGGGGAGAACGTCGCGCTTCCGTTCCTTGGGTCGGGTCCAGGACAACAATACTGAGACCTCGTGTTTAACTTTGTCTTGGCACGCATCATGTCCCTGGCCCAGGAGCGTCTCCTCGAGCTCGGAGTGTCGGCCGGGTTTCCAGCGTGGCTCAGCTCGCCCCTCGCTGCTTATCAGAAAGCTGAGGAGGAGCCTGTGCACACTTGCCAGTCCGTGGAGGGAGCCTGTTTCGATGACGCGCACTTCGCATTCATGGGCAAGGCTAAGACGCTTCTCATGCAAGCACCGATACTTGCAGCAATTGTTATCGAAGCTGTTTCTGAGCGGGGTCTCCGCGTCAATGTGAAACCTGACAAATCGGCTTTCATGTTTAAATTTCGAGGCGCTGGAGAAGGAAAGACCCAGCAGCAATTAGTTCAAGAACTCGGTAATACCATTCATGTGTGCACTAACACTGTCGGCACGGTCATCTTACATAGAGTGCTGCACTACACGCATCTCGGCACGGTGCACGACATGGCGGGCCCCATGGGCCCAGAGCTGGCGCACAGGCAACAAGGGCGTCAGCAAGCATGGCAGGCTCTTCGCACGCGCGTCTGCAAGCACACGTCTATCGAGCGCACGTCGGCCATGGTATGTTTTAGACTCTCTGGTTTGTTCGGGCAGACTTTACCAGAGCAGCACCTGGGGATACCTCACGAGGGCCCAAGCACAGCATTTGCAAGAAGGTCTCATGAGATAGCATCGTGCAGTGGCGCGGCTGCCTAGGAGAGATGACAGCGCGGCTCACAATGCTAGTGTACTTGCTGCAGTGGCCAGACCAGCGGTGGAACACTTGCTGGCTGCGCATAGGCTTCGCCTGTTCGGCAGACTATTGCTCACTGGCCCCCCGCACATATTGGCCCTACTGGGGGCTTGTCTCCAGGAATGCTCCAGGTCCTGGGCACATATGATTCAGGACGACCTGATTTGGATCCAGCTTTACCTTCCCAGGTTCAAGGAGTTCCCCGACCCGCACAGTGACATACACGCCTGGGAGGTCGAGGTGAAAAGATCCCCGACTGCTTGGAAAAAGGAACCATACGACAGGCGCTAGAAGCTACGGTGCGTCAACAGCAAAGGGAAGCCCTTGCTGCAGCTGCAGAGCGAAAATTTCTTTGATATCCCGTGGGATGCAGGAGTTCCGCCAGCGTACGACAGCCCGCTTCACCGACTCCGGGCTGCCGAGGCCGAGGACACGTAAGTTTGGACGTGTTTTTGGTGCAAGGAGGGTTTCAGCAAGCACAAAGGTCTCAGGATGCATGTCAACAGATGCCATCACAGCAGAGTTCACAGCATTCGACGTATTCAAGGCAGCAGCAAACAGTGTCCTACTTGCAGGCAGCAATTCGCACACCGCTCTGCTTTAACGGCGCATCTGGCTTTCGACTCTGCCAAGTGCGCTCTCGGGCACTGGCTCTCTGACGCGTCCTGCACGTACGAGGAGGCTAGGGACATGAACGAGGAGGAGGACAGGAGGCTACAGGCTCAGAGGAAGGCGGGTCAAGGGAGGTGGCGCACAGAGTGTCCTGCATTCAGAGGCCCTGGAGAGTGCCCCCAAGATGTTCGCCAAATTCTTGAAGCCCTCAGTCCAGAGCAGGCTCGAGATATTCTTCTGGACGCTGATTATGCACTTCCGCCGCCCCAGCTCAGAAAGGAGTATCTGAAAATGTTCAAGGATTTCCAGGCTCCTGAAGGTTCTGGGCCTGAAAGAGTCCTCCCGCATTTCATGTACAATCCTGCAGATTTTTCTGGAGTTGCAGCTTTGCAGATACCTACCAGAATACAGCGCAGCATGTTTTTCGTTCTCAACCTCTACTGCGGACGCAGGCGCGCAGGTGACATCCAGTGGCACATCGATTACTCGATTGCCTCAGCGTCCGTGGAGCTTGTAGTGTTAAGCGTGGACATTGCGATCGATGAAGTTAGAGGAGGCCTTGTTAGAGATGCTACTATCTTAGAATGGGTCGAGCATATTCGATGTCATCGTGTTATCAATTCAGGGGGGGCGCCATGTGAAACATGGTCAGCGTCTAGGTGGCAGGAAGGCGCCCCCCCCCACTCAGGACCATGAAGCATGTCTGGGGAGTTCCTTGGGCTACTAGACGTCAGTCAGAACAAGTTCGCATAGGATCGCAATTGTTTCTTGCACTGGTACGGCTGCTAGCAGGGCACCTACGAGCAGGAACGTCTGGATGGTTGGAGCATCCAGCATGCCCGACCTGGGCACGAGGTGCGCCATCATCGTTTGAATGGAAGCCCATGGCAGCGATATGGTCAGCACCGCGCGCGGCCAGAACCACTTTCGACCTATGTGAACACCAGCCAGAAGGTACGGATCCTGGAGGAGTAGGTAGAGCCCCCACTACCATAGTTTCGGTACGCATGCCCTCTCTGGCGGGCCTCCTGAAGGCCACCCCAGGCAACGGATTTTGCTCCCACGGCAAAAGGTCTCACCTGACCCTCCTGGGGAAACATTCCTCGGGAGAGTTTCGTACGGCCTCTAAGAAGGCCTATCCTAGTAGCATGTGTCGTAGTATTGCCACTGCTATCGTTGATTCAGCAGTTTCTTTGATTTCTGGCCGCTTGGCGGAGGATCCCGTCTCGAATGACTCTGAGGTCCCGAATGTCTTGGCTTATTCCCAGGACGGTCTCATGGAGTTTTTCGTGTCTAGCATCCAAGAGTTTCCCGAGGATGAAGATGCTAGGACGTATGCGCACGACTTTGCGGGCGAACTCAGACAGACTAGAGACAGGACTAGAATTGATCCTGAGCGCAGCAGATTTCTGGATTCGGACTCTGAGCAGGAACCTGAGGCCCACGCAGAGGCTTCGACTCAGTCAGGAGCCGACGCGGAGGCTGAGCAGCTTTTCGTGGATTTGAGTTTGGGCTCCCCTGAGAAGCAGGCGGCGTCCTGGCCGCTTTTCCCCTCCCCGCCTCCTTTGTCTCCTCCTCCACCCCCCCCCTGCCCCCCTTGTTCTCTCCTCCGCCCAGCAGGCCAGGATCACCGCCAACCGCGCCGAGGCGCGACGTCGCCGCCGAGAGAGAGAGAGAGAGAGAGAGAGAGAGAGGTTCGCAGCCTGGGGTTTAGAGGTGCCGCCGCCTCTCGATCTCTTCCCCGAGCGGGCGCCATCGGCGCCGCCGCTCGAAGTTCTTCTGGAGCAAGCTCGTGATGTTTGGCGATAAGGCCGGGCACCACCCTTGCTCTCTTTTTGTGGAGGGTCCTACGCGACCCCCAGAGCGGCCACAGAGGCCGCAAGAAGCGAGCACGACCCGTCGTCGAAGCCAGCGTTGCATCAACCCCCCTCCGTCCCCCTGTGTCCTCAATCCTCCTCCTCCTCCTCCTCCTCCTCCTCCTCCTCCTCCTCCTCCTCCTCCTCCCCTCCTCCTCCTCTCCTCCTCATCCTCTCCTCCTCCTCCTCCTCCTCCTCCTCCATACTTTTGCTCCTCCTACTCCATCCTCCTGCTTCCCCGTCCTCATCCTCCCCTCGCTCCTCCTCCTCCTCCTCCTCCTCCTCCTCCTCCTCCTCCTCCTCTCCTCCTCCTCCTCCTCCCTCCTCCTCCTCTCCCTCCTCCTCTCCTCCTCCTCCTCCTCCTCCTCCTCCTCCTCCTCCTCCTCCTCTCCTCCTCTCTCCTCCTCCCTCCTCCTCCTCCTCTCCTCCTCCTCCTCCTCCTCCTCCTCCTCCTCCTCCTCCTCCTCCTCCCCGCCCCCTTCTCCCCCCTCTCCTACCCCCCCTCCCTCTAACTCCTTTTCCAGCTCATGCTCCTCCTGGCGGTGCCAGGCGGGCAACGGGTGGGCCTGCCCATGGTGTTGGCGACGTGCACCCCGCCCGCGGCCACGTGGGCCGCGTCGAAGAGCATGTCCACGACGCTCACGAATTGGTTGCAGTACGCGGCCTCGGGGTCGCCGCCGCCGCCAGCGCCGATGCCAAAGGCGAGGACGACGTAGTCGGCAGCACGGGCGACGGCGACGGCGACGACAACGACGACGGCGACACCGACGACGAGGAAGACAACAACAACGGCGGCAACAGCGTCGCAATCATCGTCGGCGTCATCGTCGCCGCCGCCGCCGCCGAAGTCGCCGCAGTCGTCGTCGCCGCCGTCCTCGTCGACGCCAGCCCTCGTCCCCTCAAAATCCACTCAACGCTGTCCCTGGACCCTGCCAGAGGGCCAACCCTTGGCGAGTTTTTGGGGGGCTGCGTCCGGTCGTGGCCTCGAGAGAGCGCTTCCCCATATCCTGAGATGGGGTTCGTGGCATACGCCTCCGATTCCTCCTTCACTCCTCCCCTCCAGGGGACGAGGAGTCAGGCGGAAGATTCAGGTTTGAGGTCTTTGGGCGTTCGGGGAGGGGGGCATTATTAACTACACCCGGCCGAAAAAAATGCCAGGAGGTAACAGTGCTGCACACCTCGTGGCTCTTCCACACAACCTGCGCAAGCTGAACAGTCGTCACAACAGAAGCACCGTGTCCAGCGCTGTCGAAGCACTATCTATCCATCGCACAGACGAAAAAAATCTGCTAAAATAGGTACAAGAGCATTACGGCATATAGAATGACAAGTTACTCCATCCTGAGCATTATCCTCCTCCAGGTCGCGGTCAAACACCTGGTTACAGCCTGTCGGACAGATGTTGTCGTGATCCTCGTTGGCCATCACTGATGTCGTCGCTGTCGTCGTCGTACCCGTCGCCCGTTCAAAATCGTTCTCACAACAGAAACTCACTGACAAACACCCTCAGCAAAACGTTCCAGCGAAATGAGATACGCATATGGCCATCTCCGCATCGATTAATGTTGGGCTGAGCCTGGCTGTCGCGGCGAGAACGTCCGAAACGCCAAGAAAGTTCTCAGGCAATGGCCTCGTCGTCGTCGTCGTCGGCGTCGGCGTCGTCGTCGTCGTCGCCGTCCATGCGGTCGCCGTCGTCGCAGCTGCGGCCCGACGGCCTCGGAGCTCTCGTCGCTTCCCCGCGCGGCGCTCACGCAGCCCGGGTCGCCTATGGTCAGCAGCCAGCGGTCGCTGGGGAAC